CTGGAGGGCCACTGTTTGTTTATTTTTACTGCTCTATGTTCGCCCTGAGGCACTATTTTGTCTTGTTTGTGGGAGAAATCTGGAGAGCTTGGAATTTTCTGATCTACTCTGCCATCTTCCCAGAATCCTCTCCACTAAATATTTTTAAGTTCATTATCTTTACAATATTGTTGTTATTGTATAAATTATTCTCTTGGTTCTGCTCACTTCACTTTCCATCAGTTCATACAAGTTTTTCCAGGTTTCTTTGAAACCATCCCCTTCATCATTTCTTAATGACACAATAATATTCCGTCATGTTCATATACCATAATTTGTTCAGCCATTTCCCAAAAGATTGACATCCTCACAAAGAAAGAGCAGATCAGTTTCCAATTCTTTGCTATCACAAAAAGGGCAGCTATAAATATATTTGATGTTTTTTTGATATTATTAATTTTTTGTACTTTTAAAAATAATTTGATATTATTATTTAAATAGAGCACCTGGCCTGCAGTCAGGAAAACTCATCTTTGTGAGTTCAGATCCAGCCTTAGACACTTAACTAACTGTGTGGGCAAATCACTTAACCCTGTTTGCCTCAGTTTCCTCATTTGTAAAATGAGCTGGAGAAGGAAATGGCAAAGCACTCCAGTATTTTTGCCAAGACCACCCCAAATGGGGTCATATAAAGTCAGACATGACTGAAACAACTGAACAACAACAAATACATGAGGTCTCTTCATTTTCCTTTAATTTCCTGAGTCAAAGGATATGGTCCATAAATATTTAGTGTTCATGTTAATTCATTGTTTATGCTACCTTTTATCAAAATGTAGTTTCTCTGTTCATCTCTTTTAATTAGGTTGATTTTTGCTGTTACTTTGTCTGAGATCATGACTGCCACCCCTATCTTTTTTTTTATTGCTGCTGAAGAATAATAGATTCTGTCCCAGCTCCTTATTTTAACTCTGTGTGTATATTTCTGTTTCTAATGTGTTTCTTGTAAACAATATGTTGTTGGATTCTAAATTCTAAACTGTTCTTCTGTCCTCTCCCATTTTATGGATGAGTTCATCCCATTCACATTCACATTATGCTTGCTAATTGTGCATTTCTTTCCATCTTCTTCTTATACTTTTCCTTCTGTTTCTCACCTCCCTTTAAGACTTTGTTTTGCTTCTGACGACTGCTGCCCTTCATATACCCTCCCAATTTATTCCCTTATTTCCCTTAACCTCCTTCCCTCCCATTTCTCTACTGGTTAAAATATATTTGTGCATGCAGTTATGTATGTGGGATGTGCATCCTTCCCTCCTTTGACTAGTTCAGATGAGAATAAAATTCAAGTATCACTCACTCTTCCTCATTCCCTCCTCCATGTTGTATAGACTTCTACTTGTGCACCCTGTGTATGTGACATAATTTTTCCCATTTTTCCTTTCCCCTTCCCCCCTTGGCCCACGTGTTTTTCTTCCCCACCCTTTCTATTCTTCTCTAATTCTGCTACCTCTAAGACCTCTGGAATTGTAGGATAACTTGCCTTTGGTTGTAAAAATAATGGCCATGCCTCAGGTGGTCTCTAAAAAGGTAGCTTGCTAGCTTTGTAGTCAGCTAAGTCAGGAATCAAATTGTTCTTTGAGATTCTTTTTGACCTTTTACCAGAAAGTACTGGGTAGGGGACTCAGGAATAAAAGGTGGGGGTGGGGAGACAGAATGTATTTCTACCCCACCCTCAGTGGAGCTGCTTTTCTAGTAGGAGACACAATACCCAGCAGACAGCAGGTCTTAGAAGTCAAGGAGTCAGTCATTATAGAAAGTTCTGAGGATAGTGATCCCAAGCAATTCAGAAGAGTGCCTTCTATGTGTTCTGGAGACAGCTCTGAAGTTGGGAGAGTTGGGCTATAAAGAGAAGCAGGTCAAGAAAGCCTAGCTAAGCAACCCATCTAGAAGAGGTGCTATGCCCAGAGGAAAGCAGCTTTAGGACATCATGAAGAGAAAGAACATTGGGGTCATGCAGTGCCAGGGGCAGGGGTACCAGTGTACTCTATGTGTGTATTTATTTTTCATGCAGACTTCATAATTATGGATGTGTCCCAAGTTTATAAGGGGGACATTTTGTTACTGTTATTCATGCTGACACCTCAGTAAATGCTTTGAGCTAGTGTCTACTATTAAAGATAAATACACTCATGAGGGCTTCTGAGCTATGGTTTTAGGAATATACACTCAAAAAGTACTTAGAGTCTGTATCAAATTGGGGTAGTTGCCCAGTATATGTAGTAGGGATACTACATATATTACCTACCGTCAACTGCCCTTCACTGAAGCAAGGCAATCTTTTATTCCTAATTTAATCACTTGCACTTTTAGGAACAGCTCTTGCAAACTTTTTCTCTCTCTAGACTCCATTAGCACTTCTTTCTCCAACTTCTTAGCTGTGGGTCCTGTCTCACAATTTACTGGAAAAAAAAAATCAAGGAAGTTGTTGAGAATTCCTTCATCTTTCTTCATATCAAAAGCTCTTGACATAAGCTACCATTTCCTTCTTTAGTCTGATGAAGTTTTTCTTGCCAAAGACCAATTCCCCTACACGTACCCTTGACTTCATGCATCTCATTTCTAGCAGATTGCTCCTACCAGCATCCTTGCTGTCTAGTCTTTGATTTCCCATCTGCTGGTTCTTTGTTGCTTACAAACATGCTTGAGTCTCCCTCATGGATACCACCATCCCTGCTATCACCTTCTATATTCTCTCAGTCATAATCCTTGAAAATCATCTCTCAAACTCTTCTGCCTTCTAACCTCGTAACTCAAAGTGACTTCTCCAAAATCATCAGTGAATGACTAAATGCCAAATCTAAATGGCCTCTCAATCCTCATTCTTGATGTCCTAAGCAGCATGTGACACTAGTGACTGGTTTTCCTAATATTGATTTCTTCTGGTTCTCCTCCTGTCTGGCTCCTCTTTCTCAACCTCCTTTGCTCCTCATACATGTCATGCCTATTGTGAGCATATTCCATGGCTCTCTGTTCTGGACTCTCTTTTTCTAAATATACTCTAATTTGGCAACTTTTATCAGCTCTCATGCATTTAATTATGATCTCTAGGCAGAAGACTCTCAGATGTTAAATATCCATTTCCAGTTTCACTTCTGAGTTCCATTCCCACATTAACAACTGCCTGTTGAAAATTTCAACTTCGAGGGGCAGCTAGGTGGCGCAGTGGATAGAGTACCAGCCCTGAAATCAGGAGGACCTGAGTTCAAACCCACTCTCAGACCAAACACTTGCCACTTACTAGCTGTGTGACCCTGGGCAAGTCACTTAACCCCAACTGTCAAAAAAAAAAATTTTTTTCAACCTCGACATCTCAATTCAACATGTCCAAAACTGAACTCATCTTTCCCTTAAAACTTCTCCTTTTTCTGAATTTTCCTGTTGATTTAAAGGATATCAGCATTCTTCCAGGAACCCAGCTTAGCAACCTTCATATTAACTTGTGATTTCTGTCTTATCTTCCTCCCACCCCTACCCCAACAGTTGAGGCTTATCACCTGGACTAATGTAATAGACATCTATTTGGTTCCTATCAATCACAAGCATCTTTCCTTTCCAATCCATTCTCCACACATCTGCCAAAGTGATTTTTCGTAAATTACAGGTTTGATATCACCCCCTACTTAACAAAATCCATTGACTCCTGATTACCTCCAGTATCAAATTTAACTCTGGCACTTAAATCTCTTCACAGCTTAGGTCCTTCCTACCTTTCCAATCTTTGTACACTTTATTCTTTTCCACATACTTGCCCATCCAGCTATTCTAACCTACTTCCCATTCTACACTCTTCATCTCCTGTATTTGTACCTTTGCACTGGCTGTGCCATCCCTGCACTCCCTTCTCACCTTGGCCTTCCCAGCCTTGGAGCCAGGAAGACCTGGGCTGAAGTCCTGTATCTGATATGCACTGACTGTGGGATCCTGGTTAATCACTTTACCTCTTAGTTACCTGGGCAACTCTCAAGATTAGAAACTACAGATAAAAATCTGTTTCCTCATCCAAGAATTCCCCAGACCAATGAAATCATAGGTCCAACCCCTATCTTATGGATATACTTATATATGTACATATTTTCTTCATCATTAGAATGTAAGCTCCTTAAGGGCAGGGACTATTTACTTTTATCTTTGTATTCCCAGTACTTAACAAAGCCCATAGTAAGCACTTAAAAAATTCTGGTTGATTGACTCTGTATATTTGAAAGAATAATGAATAAAGAGCCAAGAGACTATGCTTATAGCTCCAACTATGTGAATTTGGGTTCATTACTTAAAAGCCTTTGGAACTCAGTTCCTACATATGTAAATTGATGGGTTTAGATTAAATAATCTTTAAGTTCCCATCTAGCTTAAGCATTCTATAAATTTTTTAAATAACTGATGCAAAAAAAGTAGAGACCTGAAAAAAGTTTCTATAGTGACAGTAATAAAATCCAATTTACTTTATTAAAAGCAAATTTAAGACTGAAAATTAGAATTTGGTTTATTAATCAGAGTTCAAGTAAAATATGTAACTTTTTAATAAATGTTTGGACAAATTGTTTTCATATTTTAAAGTCTATATTCATATAGATTTGTAATACAAGGAAAAACCAGCAGAATATTTATATATATATAAAGTGTTTAATTTTTATGCACATATTTACCTACAATATTTACAGAAAATAAAACAATGTAGAAACATGAGAATAGACAACATCCTCTCAGACTTCTTAAGAGCTGAGAGTTTTATTGCTGTATTTCAATCAAAGAATAACATTTTATATACATGAAAGCTGGGAGATTAATTTTAAGCTGAGTGGCAGCTTTATTAAAGAGTTTGTTTTTTTAAATTAAATTGTTGCTGAAACTTCAGGTATTTTGTTAAATGAAATTAAAAAGATGCTTAAGAAACAATTTGAACCTTTTCAAAACCTTCTCATAATAACAAGTAAAAAGGCACCTCCAGAATGTTAAAATATTTATAGCAATCCCAGTAGTTTAATTTTATGGGCTATTATAGTACACATCGCTATTCTGCATACACGGTATGTCATTAGCACTTACTCTTTAAGTAGTGAGAATTGTAGACTATTTTGTGGCACTGTTAATGTATTACCTTTTCAGATGGTGGAATATGATCATAAATTACACATCTGCAATACTAGTGTAATGTTATGACTACCACAGCATAAAATCCAATTATCTAAAACAATACAACTATTGAATTCCCAAACACTACATAATTCGTAACTGAATTTTCATATTCAGAAACCTATTAAGTGTTCATATGAATACTTTAAAAACATATTTATAAAGTATATTGAACAATAAATGAAAATATTGAACCAGTAAATAAAACCACAATAGTGGCTGAAGTTTTGTATACAGTTTAACAAAAAATTTATCTCAAAATATCTGTAATTTCTTACAACATAATGGAGATGAGTTTTTCTTCAACCTAAGTTCAATTTGATGGGCTTTTTAATCTACTTTCCTACAATACCATTTAAAGAATAAGCTGGGAGAACAAACAATACAGACATATGCAATAACTATTAATAAAAAAGCTGTGGGAATGGCAAGTAGGTATTCCTTAAATACTGGTGCAGGAGAACAAAGGTCCACACAACATGTTTTCTCTTTGCTTAACATTGGCATTGATTTGCTATTTACAGTAGTTTGCAAAAATACATTATAAAAACTGAATGAGGTTCTGTCTCTAAGCTTTAACTTAGTAACCAAAACACATACTTTATCTGCAATTAGTCTTGCAGAAAATGAAGTACTAAAGTGACACTAATACTGAAATACAGGTAATCAAAAAGTACCAAAAGCACTGATAACGTGAGAAATCATCAAGACAATCTGGGTTAATATTGCACACTTCTTGTCAGTTGTTGCTAAGACTTTCACATAAGTAACTGTAAAAGGAATCCTGTATGGCTTTTCGCTGCATCACTTATTTGAAGAAAGGCTGTTTCAGGTCCCATGATAATGTACAGAGATTGTCATTGAACATGAGGCCTAGGTTTCAAAATTAGCTTTCCTGTCTGGGGAAAAAAGAAGGAAAGAAAGTTCAACATGTGCTCTGTTATAAAGAAAATAACTTTATACATGTTAAAAAAAATTTCTAAAATCTGTAGTTATTCGTGACCTAGAAATTAACTTTGTTTTCAATAACAAAGGTTTTTTTTTTAAATCTTTTCTTCTAAAGTCTTTTTAATGACTACCTGAGAATCAATGATCCATTAAATGAAATAAGTAATTACTGTGAATAGTGAGAAATATTTTATGTTCATCATCATGTAAAAATTTTTTCAGAACACAAATAAAGCTATACATTTGACCTAAATTCCTATCACACTGGAAATGGAGTTTTGAATATCTGAAGGTATACTGGGATTTTGCAAAGTAGTTCAGTCCACTATATATTATCATAGAAGCAATATTTTAAAAGAAACAAAACAAACATAGTTGTACTCCTGAAATTTGCCTATAAACCTTTTTTCCCCTTTCCCATTACATAGAAATAAAATTAACGCTAGCTATAAAATAAACATCTACTGCGTTACTGTTATAAATACACCATCCCAAACATGAAGTTGCTGTCAATCGCATTTTAAAATTCTTTTCAATCTGAATCTGAGATCAATTATTTCACATATGTATAGAATCCAAAGGACTCATGATGAAAAATGTTATCCAACCCCAGAGACATAACTGATGAACTCTTAAGTGCAGACTGAAGTATCTTTTTTTCACTTTCCTTATTTTTCTTGCTTTTTTTTTCAACATGGCTAATAAGGAAATATCTTTTGCATGAAAAAATCTTTCATGTATGATATATAAGTAAAAAAATTACTTACATCATCACAAGACATATTATATTCTGCTAACACAGTTCGACATCGGGCTGCTATACTGCATATATGTAGTCAAAGATAAATAGCATTATTTAGAGAAAATTAAAAAAGAAAGTCAGACAGAAGTGTTTTAATAGTGGTTCCAAAATAAAATTCAGCCACATTTAAAGGATACATTGATGGTGCTACCACTCTTTTGTGTATTCCAGCAAAGAACAACCCTATTAGAGTGATACAGCTGATTGTGAAAAATGGATGATTCCATAAAGATGTAAAGAAGGATACCTATATCAAAAAAGTTTTAATTATTTTCAAAATTACTGTTATTATTTAAACTATACTCTTACCTATATATTCCTTTAATCCTTTTATCTTCTAAACTGACAAAGTAATTATAATGATCCTAGTTTCCTTTATTGCTATGCTGTGTAAAAATTTAGTTAAGCATTCAAAATTTATCATCATTTATATAGTTTGCTAATATTACCTTATCTCTAGTATTCACTATACTACCAAAATCAGTACTATCGCTATATCTATTTAATTAGTATTTAAAAAACACTTACATTTATCCAGTGCTAAGTAGAAGGGCAAAACATGGAGCCTATCTTACAAGAGCTTAAAATCTATTTGAGAAGACTAAACTAACAGGAAACAAATTGGGTGAGCAATATAAGACTGTATATAAATAAGTATTAAATCATACAACTTAGTGATGTAGGGATTCAGAAAAGAGGGAGAGGAATAATGTGGACTTCAATGAAGAGGTAGACTTTTGTGCTAGAACTGAAAAATTGGTGGGGTTTAGGATGAGCAGAAAAGTAATTTCAATATAAAGGCATAGAATCATAAATTTAGAACTGGAAGGGATGTTAGAAGTCATCTAATTCAATTTTCTCATTTTATAGATGAGGAACTGAGTCCCTGAAATGTTAAGTGCCTTGCCCAAGGTCACAAAGGCTTCAAGTAACAGAGTTGAGATTTTTGAATCCAAATCCTCTGATTCCATACCCAGCACTCTTTCCACTGTGCATGTAATATATTAATAGGATTTTGAGAGATCAGCCTTACTGGAGATGGTTCATGTCAGAGAATGGTAGAAATTATGATATTATTACTAGACCCAGTAAGGCTTCTGTTGATACAGAGGCCCAGTCCTAATTGTCTAGCTCCAGTTGCTCTTCTTTTTATGCCTCTATCCCAGATGACATAATTAATGACCTTACATATTAAGTAAGCTCTCAGATTATATAAATGTTCTATGGTTCCATTTACATGAGAAAATTATGACTGTATCACTAAATTTTCCTTTTATATTGCTTAAAAAGTTACAGATACACCTTCCATAGGTAGCCTCAATAGGGAAAAACCAGAGATTTTTTAAATTGTGAAAATCAAAGCATTATTACTCTTACAGGGTAGTATACTGAAAAACTCTTATACGGGTGCTATATTGAAAAACATACAAAACTTACTGGCAATAAACTTGCAGCCTATAAATTCTGAGCAAAAGGTTTTCTATCAAGCAAAATCATAGATGAAAATACCATAGTTTGTTTTTCCTTGTAAAAATTGCTACCAAATAGTTTGCTTTTGGTAAATGAACACAAAGAATAGTCTTCATTAGCATTATGCATTTTTCTTTGAAAAACCAAACCAAACCAAATTACTTCTACCTTTTGTGTCTCAGGATCTATCAACCAGTTCCAGGCACCAGTAGCTGTACAGACAGACACCACTATAAGAATCACTGATGAAAGATAAAAACTAAATTAGTAAACAAATAAACCTCTTACATAAAACCAGATAAACCAATTCCTAATAAATGAGAGTTGTAGGAGACAGTACTGAGTAGAAGTATATTAGATCAAGGAAGGAGTAACCTAAGTTCTCATGACTTGCCATATCATATGGCCTCCATTGTGAACTTCCAATATTCAAGTGAGAACACAGATGCCCCATTCTGGCTTGGATTTCTTAGAATTTAAAAAGTTTAAAAACAAACAAGAAAACCCCCAAGAAAAACAAAAATAATCATGTAAATGTGACATAACAACACATATTCAATCTAGAAATAAAACAAAAACATCATACCTGAGAGCCTCTCTAGGACTACCATTAAAAGATTTTTCCTTCTTAATAAATGCAGATGAATCAATTAAAAAAAAAAAAAAGGCAACCAAAGGACAGCATTTTCTTCTTCAAGGTACTTAGTGGACGTCCAGAATATAAATTATAGGTAGGTAAAAAGCAATACCTCTATGAAAGCAAGATTCCCAATATTCCCAGTATACCCATTCTGGAAATCCTAAAAAGCCAAAATACAACTCTACCATAATAAAAAAAAATTTCACATTAATTTGTTTTAAGTTAAGGAAAACACCCAAAATATACAGCAACAAAGATTGGAGAGAAGATATAACTGTTTAGTCTATTTTAAAAGCCATGTGCAGATTTAAAAAAGAAAATGAAATCAATGATATCAGAATATGAAACAAAACTCTAATTATACAGATTTTTTTTTTGCTTACACTACATTTTCATAGGCAAGTCAAAAGATAATTCATGTATTTTAGAGTTGTGATCATTTTAAATTAATTCCAGACGTATGGAAATTTTCCTAAATCTATAAATAATAATAATACCATACATTAATATAGCTCTTTGTAACTTTTTAAAATGTTCTCATATATATTACCTTATTTCAGTAGTATTTTAATATAAATGATATAACTAAATATAAACAATGTATGATTTTGAATCTTCAAAGATTAAATTATGTTCATTATGCTGTGCTTAGATAGGACAGCATACTAATACAATTTTAAAATATTTTTCTTGATATTGCATTTTTTACAGATTGAAGGTTTGTGGCAATCCTGTATCGAACAAGCCTACTGCACCATTTTTTCCAACAGTATGTGCTCACTTGGTATCTCTGGGTCACATTTTGGTAATATTCCCAATATTTCAAATGCTTTCATTATTATCATATCAATTATGATGATCTGTGATCCATGCTCTTTGATGTTACTATTATAATTGTTCTGGAATGCCATGAACTATGCCCATATAAGATGGCAAACTTAATGAATAAATGTTGTATTTTTGGGGGAAAAAAAAGATTTTTCTTAAATGGTTAAAACAATATCAATTTTCAGGCTAAACCTGTTAACCAATTAACCAAAATATTCAATTCCTTGAGAATTTTGTTTAATTATTTTCTTTTTTTAACCATATGTTATTAGTCAGTACACATATAGGACTGTTCTAAAAATGTCTGATAAAATGTACACTAAAATCCTGGCCACCAGTTTTTCTTAAAGAAGCAGTCATGGTGGCAGCTAGGTGGTACAGTGGATAGAGCACCAGCCCTGGAGTCAGGAGGACATGAGTTCAAATTCAGCCTCAGACACTTGACACTAGCTGTGTGACCCTAGGCAAGTCACTTAATCCCAATTGCCTCACCAAAAAAAACAAAACCAAAAAAAAATTCCAATATTACATAAACTGTTTGCCAAAAGAAAAAATAAAAGCAGTCATATAAAGGTCTCTCAATATTTAACAATATTGATTTGAAAGCAAACATTTTAAGAAGCAGAAAGATCAATAAACCCATTAGAAATGCTTTCATTCAACAGATGCAGTTAATAGTGTGGGAAAAATCATGTGTTCATATACAATTACATGTATATTGTTTGGTACTTGGATGTTACAGCTATTCATTCATTTAACAAATATTCACTATGTCCCTACTATGTTCAGAGCATTAAGCAACTGCTTTAATAAGTACTGAGATGTAAAGTTTAGATAAGAAATAATCCATGCCCTCAAGGAGCTTACAGTGGGATAATACTAGTGGTGGGATAAGGCTATAAGGAAAATTATAACACAGTTTTTGATGTACACATGTATCAAACAGTTTCAAAGCAGAGTGCTATAGTTCACTTTGGGTTCAGGTTTTAAAAGAAAGGTAGGAATTCAACAGGTGACGAAGAGCAAGAAAGACATTCTAGAAGTGGGGAACAGCATGAGTAAAGTTATAGAGGGGGTAGATGGCATATTTAGAGGAGACAGTATTTTGGCCTATTTAGTGCCTCATGGGTATTAAGACAAAATGGCCTAAGATTATGGAGATTTTCAAATACCAGGCAAAGCAGACAATAGGGAGCCACTGAAGACTGGAGATCTTTTCTGTTTGTGCTCAGATCTATATAGAAAAAAAAGATTATTTTGGCAAAAGGAGAGATTAAGACAGGTAGGAGAATCAAGAGAGATGGGTGTTTTGAAAGTGATAGGGAAATATCTAGTAGGAGTGGGTGGTATCAAAACCTCCAGAGAGGTCAAAAGGTCATGGGAATGGAGAAAAATGGCCACTGGATGTGGCAATTAAATTTCATCATTGGTGACCTCTGAAAACTGTTTCAGTACCATGGTTGGGACAGAAGGCTGACTGTAAGGGGTTAAAATGTAACATTATATTAAAATGTAAGCTCATCAAGAGTAGGGACTGTTTCATTCTTTGAACATGTAACCTCAGTGCCTAGCATAGTTCCTGGCATATAACAGGTGTTTAATAAATATTTGCCAACTTATTAAAGGGAATGAGAATACAGTAAGTAGTGAGGCCACTGGAAGTGCATGTAGACAACTTTTAAAAAGTTTAGCAGTAAACTAGAAAGAGATGGTATGATAGAAGAATATAAGAAAGGAGTTTTTTTTAATGATAATAGTAAACATATCTGTAGGCTAGTATCAAGGTGGAGAATGAAGATGCATAAGATGTGTTGACTGCTGGAGCAAAGTCTCAAAGACGTGGGATGGAATGGGATCAAGGGTCTTGCTGAACAGTTATCTTAACCTCTTCTCTTTTGACCACAGTAAAGACTGGGGGGTGATGATGCTACAGTCTGCAAGGAATGGAAGAGAGCTGAAAGAGCTCATGTAGAATGATCCCAATCTTCTTAATGAAGGAGGAAACTGTGCCTTATTCTTTAAAAGAGGATGCAGTTAGGCAGTGAGAGGAGAAAAATGTTTAAAATGTTTAGTTGCTATAAGAAATGAGAAATGAAGTCAATTAGGATATTATAGAAGGGTTGACAAGCAGTAGCTAGGGCCCAACAAATGTTATGTATCATAAAATTATCTTGGTTTAAACCATACAATATATATTATGTCATTTTATGACTTTATTGAGCAAAACTCAGCAGCACTAGAGGAACTGGATGAGGGAGATAATTTCGGGATGAGAATTCACAGGTCATGACTGATGGAAGGTTAGGGGACAAGGTATCCTATAGTGGTAGTTAATGAAACATTAAATGGATAGATTATTAGTTTAAGACTAAGAATGGCAGTGAGTGAAGCCAGAGTCAAGATTAATATACATAGTAAATGAAGCAGATTAGTTTGGAAACAGAAGAAGAGACTCAAAAAATAGGGATGGATCAAAGAACTGGAGATCATATAATGGCAAAGGGTAGATTTAATTAACATGATAAGAGGGTTTGAAAAATAGGAAGCTGTGGTTAGAGAGTGAAATTCCAAAGTTCCATGTCTTGGAGGTATACAATTCTAAGAAGTGCTGTGATTTTATGATAGTGAGATCTTCATAATTTCTATAGTAACAGTCTAAGAAATTGAAACTATTAATTATTCAGAACATATACAGAATAGACTAAATGTTGAAATTTGTCCACGTTATTACTTTTTCTAATCTTTAAGTTTCCAAAGGAAATTGTCTATTTTAAACTAAATTTTGTACTATGCCTGAAGTACAGTACACACTAATGAAGATGACAGAAGATTTATATGTTACCTTCTAAAATGCCAAAAGTATGTACTAAAAAGACCATTTACTAAGTATAGGTTCTCTTTTCCATTTCATGGTCTCTACAGTGTTTCTTCTAATTGAAACTTCTATTATTACTAATAATTTAGGAAATTGTGTATAGCCTAAAATACCATAAGTTTGGGGAACTATTATTACATTGATTTTAAAACAATTTAAAAACAATTACAAGTTTAAACATTTTAATTACAAAGATTAACAAATAACCTGAACAGTCGATTTTGATGGAAAAGCCAAAGTGGTATTTTGCAAATGTGCATTTTCTACATAAAATTTGTAACAAAGTAAATTACTTCTACAGAAGGAAAAAATACTGAATACTAATTCCTCTTCTCTTAGAAAACATTCAGCTAACTTACTTCTCCAACGTCCTGTAGCAGGTTGTAAACAAGAAATATATTCGGTAAGTCTTCTCTCAAAAGCCTTGAGATCTAAGGCAAAAACATTTAAGAATATTAGTCACTGATATTGGTTTTGTCTATTAAGCTTAACTATAATTATTAAAAAATGTTTATATTCACTCAAGATACATGTTATTCATTACCTTAGCTTTAAGCACTTATTAGAATGATTTCTTCTTGCCATTTAACATGGGGAAACTGAGGCGACTTCCTGAAAAGCTATACATTATGTTTCATTAAGTGCCAAAATCAGCAGAGTTGAACATTCAGCTGAGTTCTCTCTGCTACAGACTGAAAGAAGTCAGCTAAGCTTTCATTTCTCTTTGAGTACCAGAAATTAAACACATAGTAACGTTTTACTGAACATATGGAGTTTTAATTTTGCTTGTATTTATTCTATGCCCTAAACACTTGACACTGTTTGCCTTTACAAACATATAAACAGACTTAACGGTTGTTTATAATTGATTTGAAAAGCAATTCCCCTTCCATGAACATGTCTAACCTTAAGCAAGTTGGAAGGGGCATTCAAATTGAACTTCATAGCATTAATAGCTGTACCATTTTTTTTTTTAAACAACAAATGACTAGCTCAAAGCACTCCCATAAAGTGAATATAGACCTTTTATTATTTACAAAGAGCTATCCCCTCAACTTGGGAGGGAAGGGATGGGGAACTGGCCTTGGAGTCAAGAAGACCTGGATTCAAGTCCTGCCTCTGACAACATACATACTAGCTGTGATAAGCAAATTGGTTAATCTCTCAATGACCCAGACAATTTTCAAAACTATAAATCACAATAGTTGCTGATCTGCATCTGGGGACGGAATGTCCATGCAGAGCTTTCCCTACAGACTCTCCCCAACCTCCTCTACACCTCTTTATATTCTTCGTTAAGAGAATATAAAACCTGGGCCGCTTAAGTGGTGTAGTGGACACAGCATTAGCCCCGCAATCAGGAGTACCTATGTTCAAATCTGACCTCAAGACATTTACTAGCTGTGTGAGCCCCCCAAGTCATTTAACTCCGACTGCCTCAAAATATGTGTGTGTTTTTATACACACATATACACGTATAACTTGAAATTATTTACAACCGTCTAGGATAGCTGTTCTCTTAAACTTAAAAAGACGTGCTTGAGGATATGGTCTAAATATGAGTCTAAGACCTGATTTTTACATAGGGTTGGTAACTTTAATCTTGTTTTCATTCAAAAAGGACAGTCTGAAGTCCTTTCTTACCACGGTTAGTATCAGAAACCATTGAAGCAAAATTGGAGTTGTTTAACGGTCTAAACTTGGGAAAGACACACTCTCTCTTTCTCTCTAATCACTACACCGACCAAGACAGCTCGACCAACAGCCCGAAGCCGTTTTCCGGAGCGGAGGGGCCGGGCTGGGGCTGTCCCGGGGGCTCCTGGGAGGATCCGGAGGCTTCCCCGCAGGACGCGCATCCGCCTCGCCCGACTGCCTCCCCTCAGCCGGGGCCTAGGCTTCCCGGCCGCCCCGGGGTGGGGTCTCAGCTTCCCACCTCTCCCCCACCCCATCCCTGCCCCCAGAGGGGAGCAGCCTCCGGCCCGGCGGGAGCAGGCAGACACGAACGGGCCGGCGTCCCTACCTTCCGCTTGCTCCAGCGAGTTCATGTCGGGCGGCAGCTCCAGTCACTGCCGCTGCCCCGTCCGCATCCCGACCCCCGCCTCAGCCCCGCGGCACCCCCAACCCCTCAGACAGCCTCGGCCCCAACCGTCCCTCACCCTCTCCTCCGCGCCCGGCGTCCCCTCGCCTACACCCACCTCGCTCATTGGGCCCCAGGACCGTACCCCGAAACTAACCTGGATTCCCATTGGCTAAGGAGAACGCTCTCCGCCGTGCCATTTTAGGATTGGGCTCCTCCCCCTCAGCCCGAGTGAGCGAATGCCTCCAGCAGAAGGAGCTGCGCCTGCTCTCGTCTGGCTCCTCCTGCTGCACCGGTGCGGAACTGCACCCTGTCAAATGCCTTGTCACTGTCTGGCGGGTCTACTTTTCCCCCAGTTGCTGGAAAGAAGCACTTTCCTAAATATCCCCTTCGGGAGTGTTCTTCTTTCTGGCTTCCCTATTTCTCTAGATAGCATTTTCCAGGCACCAAGGGTACAGAGTACAAGAAATTTGTACTCTGTTAACCCCAGTGGCTTCCTATTGCCCCTCTACGATGAGCCATAAACTCTGTTTTTCCAAGGCCTTCACAACCTGTTCCCAACCTATCTTTCCAGACTCTCATTATGCAGTCTAGCTAAATAGGCCTTCTGTCCGATACATAGTAGGTGCTTAATAAATGCTTGTTGATTGATTGCAATGCACCTTGTCAGATACAGTGAGGGACAGAGAGATGAATCACACATATTCCCTGCATTAAATTAAAGTCAATAATCATTTAAAAATCTTGGTTGCTATGAATGTAACATTTACAATAAACACTAATTAACCGAATACAGCACCAAATATGAGATAAATCTCTTTAAAAATACCTTAAAAATGATCATTTTATATGTTGAGGACATGTTCAGGAGTAGAACTGTGCAGTTTAATAAGATTGATTTTAAAGACAATTTGATGATGTCTGTCTGCACTCCCTATATAGCTTGCCTGTATATAGCTTGTGTTATAAATATTATCAAACATTTTATCTTCACAACAACTCTGTGAGGTAGGTGCTATTACCCCAGTTTCTCAGATGAGGAAATTGAGGCAAATAGCATTTAAATGACTTGCTCATACAGTTTATAAGTGTCTGAGTCCAGATTCAAACTCAGCTCTTCCTGGCTCCAGGTCTGGCACTCTATCCATTGGCCTGTCTCAGAGATGAGGTAAATCTATGGATTGACTGAATCCTGATATCATTCATTCATTCATTCCACAAGCATTCATTAGGTACTTACTTTGGTTCAGATCCTAGTGAAATAAACAAACAAAACCAGTTGCTGACTTAAAGGAGCTTATACTCTATTGGAGAAATTTTATTCTATTAATTAATGATCAGATATGATTTAATAATAATTTAAAAAGAAATATAGTAATAATTTAAAAATAAAGCACTTCTTAAAGTTGGTGAAGCCCTTTATATACATTATCTCCTTTGAACCTCACAACAACTTGGCAAGTAGATATTACAGGTATCTGTGTGGTTTTGGATAAGTCACTTCTCTTTGTCTGTATCTGTTTCTTCATCTATAGAATAAAGGAGTTAGACTTCTCAGGCCCCTTCCAGCTCTAAATCTATGATTCTAGTTCTTACCATTCTTATTTTATAGAAGAAGAAATTGAGAAGGTTAAGTAGCTGCCCATAGTCACACAGCTAGTAGCTGCTGGAGGATTGGAAACTAGGTCTTTTTAATTCTAGGAAATTCAAAGTTCTAGATCATGAGAGTGGGAGGAGGGAGAGAATAGTGAGATCAAGGATATGACCCACACCTGTGTGTGGCTAAATTGGAGTGGAAATACAGATCATAGGAATTGAAGGGATTGATGAGCTGGGAGGCAAGGGTGCTTAAAGTGTACATTGAAATCTGCTCCATGAGGGCAGGGGTTGGTTAAAGAATACTGTGAGCCAGCTACTGAACTATTTAAGAAAGGAGGAAGAGTGACCTGGGGGTTGGCAGATGACAGCAAACAGGATTTGAATAGACAGACAGTGAACCTAAAAGGAGGAAAGATTGCTGAGTGATAGTGACAGAGGAAGGGTAAGAAGAATTCTTTACTCCTTCTAGTCTTGTTTGTGTGGCAGAGAGAATAAAGGTTCCAATATTGGAGATGGAGACCAGGGATACAGTATCTTCTAGTGAGAGCCAGGATCCTCTGAATGTAGGAAGCACCTATCTCTCCTTTTACAGAAGGCTGTCATGAAGTTTAGGTTCAGGTACAGACTCCAAATTCATATTCACTCTACTACATTACAATTCTATAGGTAAACAAAATGAGTTACTGTTCACTGCAAAGTTCCTTTTGATCAGGTTCATAAATTGCAATGTCAGTATCCATTGGGTCCTTAAATTTCACAAATCCAAAGTCTCAGATATTTCTTCATCTCTGTACTTTTTTATAGACCTAGTCGAAAAAGTACAGATCTTACAATAAACTCATCCAAAAACCAGGACTCGGCCAGTCAGGATGCTCTCACCTTTCGAGGATCATAGTCAAAGTCCTTTTCTCCTGTCAGGGAGAAGTAATGAAAATCCCAAAACAAGACCCCATTTTAAAAGCTTTTTAAGTTGCCCAGTCTTGCCTTGTCCCTCCTTCCACATATAACTAGTTAGATAAAAAGAAAAACAATATTATACCAAGCAAATAAAATGCTTGCATTATATCTCCATTTGAATCTACCTCTTTGTATGTAAAAGTTATATAAACTTTTTTTTTCATTTTTAAACATTTATATTCTTAAACTTCATGTTGAACAAAGTTATCTCTGTGCTTATATCTGTAGTATGGCATTGACCCCAATTCTCTTCAATCTTTTTCTATTCCTGGGCTGGGGTTGTCTTGTTCACCCCTTCATAACAATGTTGGCACATTGGGATGGTGTCTTTAGAGGGGCAGCGATGTGACTACAACTCAAGTCTGAAGGTCCTAGAGGTATTGAGTATGACATAATAATAACAACAACAATAATAATAATAAAAACACTTCTTAGAGATGGCAAAGCCCACAGCAATTTGAGAAGTAGGTACTACTGGGTAATTATTGCTATCTGATATAAGAGGATACACTCTAATAACACACCACTGTGGCTTCTAACCCCTTATTGATGTAAAACTTTTGTCATAAATAGCAGTCACAATGACACCATTAACCCTTTAAAAAAAAGATTTTATTGACCTTGTTTTTACATTGCCTAGATTTCTCCCTGTAACCCCACTCACCTCTCCAAGAGAGTCATTTCTTATTATTCTTACTTTTGAAAAAAAAAATTGTTAAAGAAGAGAAAAAATTAAGGAAAATTGATCAATACAGTGAACAAATCTCACAAAATATGCAAGGTTCCATACCTGTGCATCTCCTGCCTCTGCAAATGAGTAGGGGGAGGTGTCTTCTCATACCTCTTATTTGGGACATTATTAATTCTTAAATACAAAGTATTTGCTAAACGACAAGTTATAAGAATAGTAATCATAAAAAATTATTCAATAGAAGGAAAAATAATTAAAATAGGAGATCATCCATAAACTTAGATCATGATGTCCTACCAATGTAAGCAGTGAGAGTACGGGAGAATAGGCATCCATTTATAGAGATCTAGCAGTGAGCTAGGCACATATTCCAAAAGGGTCATTGACAAAAAGAAAGGCTCCCTAGTCACCAAAATATTTGTGCTAATACTTTTTGTGCTATTGCCACAAAAAGAACTGGAAACAAAATAAATGTCCGTGAATTAGGACATGGCTAAACCAAAATTTTTATATAAATGTAATGGAAAATCATTGTGTTATAAGAAACAAGCATGATGGACCTACATGCACAAAAATATTTATAGCAGCTCTTTCTGTCGTAACAAAGAATTGGAAGTTGAGGGGATGCCCATCAATTGGGGAATGGCTGAACAAGTTGTGGTATATGAATGTAATGAAATACTGTTGTGCTTTAAGAAATGATGAGCAGATGGACGTCAGAAAAACCTGGAAAGACTTGTATGGATTGATGCTGGGTGAAGTGAACAGAACACAGTAATAGTT